ATTTATCTGTGACAATCCCTCCTTTTTTCTCATCCTATTAGCATCCTCTTATACTCTCACCCCTCCTGAGTTAGAGATAAACACATGAGCACTAAAAGCCAGGGTGCCTCCCTAGAAGACACTGCCTTCAAAAATGAACAAACAAACAAACAGAAAACCATCCTTTATAAACGTGTCTGGTGTTCTTATATCTGAGAACCCAGAGAATTGACACCACTCCATTTTGACTTAAGGCCAGAGAGGTTTTACCTACCCTGGCTCTCCCAAGGTAAAACAAGGACTTCTGGCCTAAGATGTGACTACAACAGGATACTTGCTCTAAGGTGTGGTCACTGTATGTCCTGCATAAACAAGAGAAGACTGAACTGAGAATATAGTTACTTGATGTTTCAGGTATTAAAGATGTAATTACTCTCTTTGTTCCTTGTATCATTGGAAAGAAGTCTTCTTCCTTCTCTCCCTTTTAAACAAACATTAAACTTGGGTGGATTCTGAATTCATTGGATGTCCTCCCAACTCTATTTCTTGTTTCTTGTCTGTTTTTTTTTTTTCCTCAGTTGCACTCCCCTTCTCAGGTACAAGCCCAGACTAGCTGTCACACCCAGTCAGATGGCATCAGATGTTGAGGCCTGAGAACAGGGGAAGCAAGTGGTGAACACTGCAAGATGAAAAAAATAAAAAGTGAGAGCTCAGATAAAAGTCAAGTTAATTTGTAGTGAGTTAAACTCAGGAGTAAAAGTGTAGGTATAACTGTGATTATGAGACAGAATAATAGTAGTCAGCTGATTGTAAATTTATTAGAGATATATTAAGAACCAGGGGAGTAGAAGTATAGCAACAACAAATACAGAAATTTGAAAGTTTGTAAAGAAGGTATGCCCTTGGTTTCCAGAGCACAGGACTTTGGATCCTGATGCATGGGCAAGATTGGAGTATAAATCCAACAATATTATAATGAATATGGGTCTAGAAGCATCCATATGGATGCCACTGGCTTAAGGGTACTCATGCAAAGGAGCTTTTTGTGCCCTGGTTGGCAGGAGGCATTTCTCCATGACCCAGTTAAAAGCGAGAAAATACCCTCCTCACCACCAGAGGAGCCGCTATATATGAGGAAGCATTTATGAGACTGCTTGATTACAATCAGTGAGAGTATGATGAGTTAGCGGAAGAAGCTGCTAGTTACAATAATGAGAATTGGTCACCTTCCTGACTTCTGGCCAGTCTCTGGAAAAAGAATTCTAATGACTAGACCAGAAGAAGGTACTCATGCATGGCTCTGTAAATGTGGTCAAGAGCCTGTGTCTCCAGAGCTCATAAACACAAGCTAACTAATATTTTGCTAAAGGGACATGGTGTGATACTGCCTTCTAAACACTTTTGTGCCCACATATTAGATAGAGCTTCTCTTTTTCGTCATCAGAAAACCTTCTTTTTGGGTTGCATGACAATTAATAGGAAGATTCACAATTAATCAAAGTGTTCAAAATAAGTGTCTATGGAATCCTTATCTCTAAGAAAGACATCTGAATCACTACCTCCAAAACTCTGGAAACATGATGAAAGCCAACATAGAAAGAATTTAAGAACCACAGATTGTGTGGATTGCTAAGAAACAATATCTTGCCGTTTATGTTGGTGGACACATACTTTTAATTCCAGAACTCTGGAGGCAGACAGTGTAGGATCTCTGTGAGTTTGAGGCCAACCGGATTTACATAGAGAACTCCAGGGCAGCCAGGACTACATAAAGAGAACTTGTCTTAAAAAAAAACAACAGCAAGTCTCCAAAAATAACTGGTGTCTCCTGCACATAACACTGCCATTACCCCTGTGAACTCACTGTACCTTTGGTTACTCACCCTCATCAAAGAAGATTCTTTGCAGCAGATGAATGCTGTTATATAGTTCCCAAATTGCCAGAATGTAATGAGAAAGTGGCCATAGGGTGCCCAGCTTCAATTGGTATATCTACGACACAACTCCTGCAAGCAAGGTTTAGGAAATAGTGTAGAAGATAGGATGGAAAGAAGGTAAAAGTGAGAAGACCTAGAGGCCACTATGAGATACTATCTTGTAGACATGACAGGTAAGCCGCACCCATAAAATATCAACAAGATCATTACCTGAACGATATTTGCAGGGTAAAAATAATGCTCTGTGTGGCAGTGTGAGTTGAGGAGTTCTTTACAAGCAACTGTCTGTCAGAACATGGTCCAAGAATGAGACTGTGAGAATTCTGAGTGCTAAAGAGAAAACTCCATGAAAATAAGCCACAAAAATAGCCTTAGGATCTCAGATTCTTCAAAAACACAGAATTGTTCTTGGAATTTGCTCTTGTGCACCTTCCCCGGGTAGTGACTAGGAGTGAGTTTACTTTAGATTATCCATTACAACTAGTTACTGTCATTTATATGCCTGCATGCAGTGGTTCTCAACCTTCCTAATTCTATGACCATTTGATTCAATTCCTCATGATGTGGAAATCACTAACCGTAAAATTTTTTGATGCTACTTCATGATTGTAATTTTACTTCTGTTATTAGTCATAAATGTCTGATATTCAGGACATCTGATATGTACCGCAAAGAGGTTGAAACCCACTTATTGAGAACCACTGCTCTATGGAAAACAATTTTTTGCCTTGTACAGCTTATCCTTGTGACTGAACATTTTACTCATGTGATGCTTTTTAACTCTCAGAGTATAAATTATCTAGTGTTCTGAATAAAGGTGGTTACTGCATGAAATTTTAATCCACCTCATTTTCAGGCTCCATTCTCCCAAGTCACAAAACTTTAGAGTGGTAAATACTACCAATAATTAAAAAGCTATCGGCCATCAATGGCTTCTGAGAAAGAGATGGATAAATAGACAGACAGATGGACAGATGGATAGATAGATAATAGATCAGTTTTCGACAGGGATGAACTTCTTGATAAGTTACCCAATTCCGTCTATCTTTAACAAATGTAAACATATGATCAACACTAATTAGACTCAGTGTAGGTATATATGTGTAGGTATATATGTAATAATATAGACATAGAAGAGGTCATGAATCTGAAAGGAGATGCAAGAGACACAGGAAGAGTTGGAAAGGGTATGGAAGGAGTAGAAATACTACTCATATATAAAATTCTCAAAAAAGTTAAAAGAAAAAAATCAAAATGTAATTGCATTTAATTTGACATCCAAAACAAAAATAAATAGAGGATTGTGTTTGTCTGGTGGGATATATTTGATCAACCTCTACTATGCATTATAAGTTATGTAAATGTAATCATGATGTTTGAAAAAATATCCTGACTCAGAGGAAAAAACTGGGGTATTTCACATTCTTATGATTCATGTTGTTTTTGAATAAGAAAATCTTATCTTCTTATGACAACCCCTGTCTTTTTTTGCATGTCTATTACTTCATGTATTTGATTATAATATTTGGTATAACATCACAGTGAGCTGTGATTTTATTAAGTTGTGCTTTTTCACCTTTACATAGTTACAAAAACTACCCTAGAGCAAATTTCAAATTAAGTACCTTTTGCTCAAACTAATATTGGGATCTTCCATAGGGGGCTTGAACTATCACATTTTTTTCTCTTTTTGAAATGAGAGATAATAGTCTAATTAAGATTATTTGTACTGTAAATTTTACAAGAAAAAAAAGTGCAGCTTAACTTTCTCCCAGCTATGTAGTCATGAACGGATAAATATGATTTGGATGTGAATGATTTCTGATAAGCTAATGTGTTTGAACACGTTTGAACACTTGCACCATAGCTGGTGGCACTGTTGTAGTTCTAGACTGCTGAACAGGTAGGGCCTCACGGGAATAAGTGATTTGATGGGGACAGGCTTTCTGGCGACAGCACTGCTCTTGTTCCTGCTTCAGCTCCTTCTGTTTCAAGATTGCTTCTATGAGGAGATAAGCCCTCTCAAGCTCCCTTTTTCACAACAAGGCCTTTCTTTCACCATGTCTTCCCCAACATGTTCAAGTGTGTCCTTAAAATATCAACTTGAGAATTGGGAGGGGCAAGCAAGGGGCTCAATGAATGTTACCTGGGAGAGGCTTGAAGGAGGAAAGAAAACAAGGGAAGTGATATACTTATATTTCACTTTAAAGTAGATACTTCTTTCTCACAAATGCTTCTCCTCAGTTATTTGACCTCTGCAGGTATAAAATCAACTAATACACATGTGTCCCAGAAGCTATGTGAAGTGCTAATTAACTAATATCACATGGTTTATTATTATCACTTATAATTGCAAGTGTGGCTTTAGCATGTTGGGAGTATAACACTAGACATAAAAATAGTCGCCAAGCATGATTGTGCAGTTCTTGCATCCCGGCACTTAGGAGGCAGGTGGATTTCCATGAGTTCAATGCCAGTCTGATCTACACAGCAAGTTCCAGGACAGCCAGGACAACATGAAGACACCATGTCTCAAAAAACAAAACAAACAAGCTAAAAAAATGGACCTTAAAATAATTTTTGTGGGACTTATTTCTCAAAAACTACTCCTTTATCTATTTTATGGAGTCTTTCTGGTTATTAACAGTGATTGTTCAATAATGAAAACAATTTTGCAAACATGAAGAAATGCATCAAACTTACTAACACCCTTAGAAAAAGGAATAAATTATTTTGAAAATGTTAAAATTTTCTGTCCCTAAAGTGTGATCATTTCTTCTTCTATTTCTTTTACTTTTTTAAACAAATAAATATCAGTTGAAAATTCACTAATCATTTAATTTTTTTTTCTTTTGGCTTAAGATGCAATTGCACATTATTTTTTCATCCAGCAGCTTGTCAGTCGATGGGGGGGGGATGGAAGTATCTAATGATAGAGTCCCTATTTGTTCTTAAGCTGAGTTCAAGGCCTTTGATCCACCCATACCCAAAGAGAGAGGCAACAGTCAGAAGTGGCATGCTCATTATTTTATTGGTAGGGTGAAGATAAAGCTATAATTACACTGCTCCTACGTGATAATCTTCTTAGCTCATGATCCTTTCATTCACTTTCTGAAAGAAACAGAGAAAAAAAAAAAGGTTATAAGGAGAGTGTGAAAAAGAAGTTTCTGATCTTTTGTTGGTGAATGTGGTAGGTGAGAGCCCATCTCCTCTTCTTTCTCTATGGTTTCCTGTCCCTGAGTCTTTGCCTTCTGATTTGTGTTCACTTTAGCTTTGCAGCCATCATATGATATGCCCTCAGCTGTTACATATGAGATGAAGAGAGAGTAATTTTCAGTGGAATATTTTTGATTGTGATTGAAAGTACACTATGATGAGTTTATGAAGCTCATCCATGAAATATATCCTTCTACAGAAAAACACTGAAAATGTCTGGTCACAAGGTAAGACACAGCATGGCAGTGCCACACCATTAAACACCTTACAGTCTCAAAAAATAAAATGAAAACTGAAGAGAACAATGTTGAATATAAGGGCAAACAACACAGAAAACATGTATACATACACATACATATCCATACTTATATACACATATGTATATGCATATATGGATTTATATTTATATATTGTGTGTGGAGTTCAGAGGACTTACACCCAAGTTTGTTCTCTGAATTCCACATGCAAGCCACAAAGCATGCACACTCATTTTCTGTACTCAAACTTGCACCAAGTACATATCAAGCATATGTACACAGACACCTAGCTAAGGTTTGTTAACTGAGTTTTGCCATGAAACAGGCCTAAGCCCAGAGTGATGACAGAAATATAAGATGAGCTACTGTAGATTCTCAGCATCAAGGCAGACCTTAGAAAGAACATTGCTCTTTACCTTAGAGAAAACATTGTTCTTTACCTTAGAGACAACATTGCTCTTTTTGTACAAAGCATACATAGTAAGATGGGTGAATAGTCATCATTACAAATGAAATTTGGGCACAATGCTTCTTAAGTTAAGCTATTACCTTGTAGAGGTTTCATAGAACAGATTCCCTCCTATCACAGGGTATCTAAATATTAATAAATAAAATGAGATACAATCTCCCTGTATACATTCAAAACACATTTAAAGTTTAAGAAATGGTAAATTTATTTTTTCTAAAAATACTGAAATTCAGGAGTTTCATGGAAACACACACAAAAAAGAACTCATACCTGACAATGATTTCCTAATTGCTGATGAAACCGGCCTTGGGAAGATCCCTAACCCCTTTGTGCCTGCTGATATTCAACAGGGACCCTGTTATATTGTCCTCGCTGCTGCTGCTGCTGCTGCTGCTGCTGCACAGGTAACTGCTGCTGCTGCTGCTGCACAGGTAACTGCTGCTGCTGCTGCTGCTGCTGCTGCACGGGGACCTGTTCCTGCTGCTGCACAGCCAACTGAGACTGTTGTGACTGCTGCGGTGGCGGCCTAGGCAGTGGAGCTGGCCTTGGCCGCTGAATCTGTTGTGTTGGCTGTGATGGCCGCAGAGACTTTTTGGGTTGTGGCTCCCCTGTGTTTTGAAGAACAGGGGTTTGACTATCAACGGAGCCTCCTTGGGAGTTTCCAGGGAAGGGTTGTCTCTCTCTGGTATTGCGGTTGGAAAGCACAAATTCTGTGTGGGTACAGAGTAAGAACAGATGAGCTGAGTGATGAGAGGCTAACAGTTTTGTCTCAAAGACTACCACACTAACCTTTTCTGAAAAGTGCCACTCAACGTCTAACCTCCTGCTTCACCACTGTGTGGTCCAGAGGGTTGCCTTTAAACCTGAGTGACAGTGGTATAGGCCATCTTCCCTTGCCATATGCTATGAGGCTTTGAGGATGTGGAGAAGAAAATTTATATAGGATGTTTCCACAAACAAGGAAGCCACCAAGACTTTGCAAGTTAAAATTAGTGGCTTAACCCTTTCCTAAAATGGTCTTCAAGTGTGTTTCTTTCCTTCATTTTTCCTGCATCCACCAAGTATGGAATAAGGCATCTCTCACAAACTGTCTCCTGTCATGTCATAGCTTTGTCACAAAATTTTCCCAGACTCCAATACACTTCAACAGCCCAGAGAGTTGTGTCTGTATGAGCAAATCTCAATTTGTAATTCTGCCATTTGAAATATTAGTTTTGATTGTATGTTAAAAATAAATTAAAAGAAATATGCAGGTATTGGAGGTGGATTAAGGACTCAAGTGGTCTTTACAGTGACCTAAATACCCTACAGTAATTTTTTGTTCTGCTTTTTAATTCTCTTGCCTCCCTTCTGTTTGTGTGGTCTCCTATGCCTCCACCCAGAATCACGGAGCTCATACCCATATCAGCATACCTTCACTTGGGCGCTGAGCTGAGCTCAGAGCCAGCAAGGACACTGTGAGCAGGACCACCAGCATCTTGGAAGAGACTCTGGAGTTGCTCCCAAGTAGGTGCTGGGGGAAGCAAGTAACTGGATCTATAAGGAGTTGTAGAACAATGACATCTTTCAGCCCCAACTAGGAGATCTTCCTGATCAAACAGGATGCATTGTGTCCCTGACTCTCCTCTCTGGCATTGCAGCTCAACAGGATGTGGTGGGGAATGGAAATTTGGCTGCGTTTTGAGGGAACAATATCATACAATCAATCTAGATATTTGAATTTTGCCCTCCCTATGTCAATTTCATTCTGTTTAGCAAATTGTCGACATGGCCATTTACTGCATAGAGGTGAGTGACATATTTGTGTAAATATGTTCATGTTTTTTGTCATTAATCCTTTAGCCAAAATTTAGGAAGTTTAGTATTTGGGGTAAGTATTATCACTCAGTCTATCAGTTATGCTTTATATATCCCCATATGTATTATTTTCTACTCTGGTATTTGTGGTATAGAAGACATTTCTCCTTTCTCTATGGTTGATCATGAAACTTTGCTACCTCAGCTTACTGTGGCCCAGAAGTTTGCCTAGGATTCTATGAATTGTTCTTAATAATGGAATACTTGCTGTTGAAGGAAGGTATGGCCTAAAACACTCTGACTGCATTACTATTCTTCCTTAAGTTATTAAAACAAACACAGCTACAGAATCCACTATGGGATTATGCAGCACGGAAATATAGATTTGAATTTTGTTGATAATGCATGACATTTTATGTCTCTCAGATGTCTGGTTTCCTCTCCTTTTCTAGAATGTTTCTGGAGATTAAGTTTGGGATTTTATCTTTGAGAAAATTGTTATTTTGAACGTTTGCTAGTTACTAACACTAAACACTGATTTGCTCTGTTATAGCATTGAACATTGAGCATTGGTGCCTCACCAATAATCTTAGTTGCTTTGTACCTTGTCTTGTGTATGTCATTAACAATCAGATGTAATTTTATGCTTGGGCTGGCCTGCAGCAAAGGGAAATATCTCTACAATATTCTGGTATGCATTCATCCCTACTCTCTACCAGTTTGTTATAGATTACATTTTTAATCTATTGTCCCCTTTGTTTATTTAACATGTTTTCTTGGCTTTTTTCTCCACTTTTTTGAAAGAATCTATTTTTCAATGATTTAAATAAACATCTATTTTATTCTTTACTACCTTGTTTCAATTTTGATTTTAAAATATTTGGTAATAATACATTTCATCTCTAACTGGACCTTTGGGTATTGCATTGTTTACTGTCTTTTAATTTGCTGCTTATTACATTTAATGGTTAAATTTCCGGTAACTATCTCATTTTCTTCATTGAAGATCTACATTGGCTCCTTCTAATCATTTCACACTTAGATGGGATTCACATGAATTTTAATTTTTCTGCAGGGCCGATTATAATTTGCTGACAGTTTTTAGTAAGAGGTAAGACAGAGTAGGCCACGTCATTGGAAATACTGTCAGCACCTTGATCAACTTTTGACAGCAGGACCTGTCCAAGGCACATGAGTTTCTTTGTAATCTCTTTGTGTATGGTTGTTTGACTAATATAATAAGGTTCTCACAGTAATTATGTTTATACCAGATAATGGGTCCCTTGGACCTGACCATTCTGGCATGGTCACAGATATATTCTGAAGTGAGACTCCATTAGCACTTGGTGATTTTTCACTGATTATATGACATGGATAGCAGTCCCTCCTTGTTTCATCCTGGCAGGCTCTTCTGCTTAGTGCCATGACAGCCTTTGGTTTCCTCAGATGCTATTTAAAAAGAGAACATGACAGAGAAGTGTCCTGCTGATGTGGCTTATGGCAGACCTTTAAGTGGAAAAGGAAGGTCAGGAAGTAAGGACATGAGTCACAGCCAGCCAGACTGAGGGCTTGAACACTTGTATTAACAGAGCCATTGATTCTGCCAAAAATCACTCAGCTCTGGCCTTTTCCTGTGTCAGCCATGTCTAAAATAGATTATTGCATTATGGAAGAAAACATTAATTATGAATCTACCAGATACAACTAAAATGGAGGTTGTGAAAGAACTAAAAGAGAGGGGCTAGCAATTAGGAAGGGAAGAGTTAAAGCAATGGTCAAACTGATACCAGGAATACAGAAATTTAAGGTATTTTGATACACCTAAGCAGTTATTCCATTTGCCTTGTAATACATATTTAAATGTTAGCATGTCATGGAGAAACTTTAAGACTTCTCTATCCTAAAATTTTCCCCCATAGTAACGCAGCATGGCTTACAGAATACTGCAGAGACAGGTTAGTGCATGTCCCTTCAGTGGCCCTCTCTGTGTCTTTTGGATGCTGACCTTTGTGTTGTGCCCCCACGTGGGCTTTGCTCTTAGCGTATGGCTGCCCTCTATTTCCCTCTGTGTCCTCATATTCTTCAATTTACAAGAACAGGAGTCACTTTAGATTGAGAATGACATAACTGCTTCATTTTTATTTAATCACATCATGACAGTTTCCACTTCCAAGTAACAGATAAATTTAAATGTTTGAGGGTTAGGAGTTCAATACAGGATCAGAAAACATGAGAACGGAATACCACCCATGATGATTCTCTGTGATTTATCATTTAATTATATCCATTTTATCCGGTTGCTCACAAACCTAGGAATGACTTGAACATTTAAGTTCTCTCAGGAGGGTCTGTTAACATTCACTGCTTGCTTGAATTTCAAAAAATCCCCTTATGACCACTTGAACCATCTATACACCTACACCGTGTGGCTCCAGGGCGTATTTCTCCTTTGGAGGACTAATTAGCGTTCCCAGCAGAACTTGGTAACATTATTGACCTCAACTCCATGTTTTATTAATTCTTAAAGTCGTAGGAATAATCTTTTCAAATTAGAATGAAGTCGTGTCAGCATTTCACTGAAAATTTCATAAAGATTGCTCACTACACTTGTCATTAGATATATATTGCATTTTCTATTCTCCACAAAACCTCGTGTTCCTCTCTCTCTCTCTCTCTCTCTCTCTCTCTCTCTCTCTCTCTCCCCTCTCTCTCTCTCTCTTCCTGCCTGGATCTCTTTCTCTTTCTATGTGTGTTTCCCCTAGCCATTTTTATTTGCCCTTTTAATATCTTTTTCTTATTATGTCTTAAATTAGTATCACTGAGTAGTTCAGGCTGGCATAGAACTCAAGTTCCTTTTTCCTGTGCTGAGAGCTTGGAATAACACCATGTGTCACTTTATTCAGCTCCCTTATTTTACTTGAAGAGTGACACATTCTATAAACAGAAAAGAAAGCTCATTTATCCAGCTTTGTCAAGCATTAACTAGCTTGAAACAATAAATTGAGGTTTAATGGGAAAAATGAACACATCCAAAATAAGTGAATTGCCTCTGGACAGTTCCAGACCACAATAGGTCAGCTGAACTAGAAATGCCACTGTGATATTTAAATAAATCAACAATTTTGTTGACATAATTTGGAAACTATATCAGTGGCCCGAAGAAGTATGCATTTCCTTGATTTGCCTACAGATTCTGGTTGCATTATTACGATGCAGGTGCCTATGTTTTAACGTGATTTTGATGTTCCATAACAATATGTAACCAAACTATTTTAGAATGTTTATGTTTTAGCAACCTGTCCTCAACAAGGTTACTTACACTACAGAGTAATTAACCAGTTTATCCATCAAACCAACCTGCTAGTTTTATGTGGTTATTTTAATGATCTCACTTTGACAGTAGGTTTACTGAGTTCCAGTTGTATGTTGTTTTGAAAGTAATCATTGTTCTAGGAGGCAGTTGACATGCCGTGTTTGAGGCTAGCTAATTTGGTGTCTAGAGTTTATTATTATGTTCTATTGTTTTAATATCATTTATTTGCTTCTAAGTTAAGAGAACCTGTACTCATATTACAAACTACCTAATGTACAGTATTTTCTGAGTTCTGGCAGACAGGATTAAGAAACTTTTTCTATGAATGATATTTTTAATGTTATGAACACACCATCTCAGTCATGTTGCATGACCCCCTTTCCAATGTAGATCTTCCACAAAGCAGTTCGTGCAGATGCTCCTTGATACACATACACAAAGGTTTTTCATGGGGGTCCTGTTAACATCAGAAAATGTTGTGTATGTTCTTTGGCATGGATTACACCCACTGTTCCTTCTAATTCAATGTATGTCATTTTGGAAACCTAAGAGGCATACTTCTAAATACATTGACTACCACAGCATCTATGTTTATACCTTTAAATTGTATTCATTCCTTTCTCCAATTGTCACCTGTGCCCAGCCCTCAAAGCTAGAGTTACATCCACAGAAATCAGGTGCCAGAGAAGGCATTATCAATATTCCCATGGGGAGGCAGCTTAAAGAATTATTTTAGCAATGCTACACTGTGTTGTGAACTTATGATGACTGCTTGGAGTTTATAGTAAAATACAATCACAGTTTCTTACATAGGATATACAAAGCATCATATATTGTCTCTATATTTTCTGAAGATATACATGATATGCAGCTATGCTTACCAGAGGGATTTTGTTCTAGTGATTAGTGGATAATTCACATTTCCTTAAGGTGAGCATGAACATTTTTTTCTCTTGGAACTAGGAGTTCTCTCCTCATGTTTAAGAAGATCAGTAGTATCATAAATTCCCTTCACAATGTCTTATTTCAGCTTCCATACTTTTAATACAACAGCCTGAAATTTAGGATGTGTGACACATTATGTATTTCAGAGAATATGTGTGATAGTATTGTTTGTCTAATGTCATATGATGGGACTTGGCATCCTGCATTTGAAAGGAAGGTTTTGTTTCATTCCCCGGAAACTCACTCATTTTGTAACTGCCAAAACCAACACAGCAGGTTGAAGAGACTTCTGATTCTAGATAATAAAAATGCCATGTTATTCAAAGGTATTTTATTAGTACATGGGCAGGTTCTCAAAGGAATACTATGAAGATGTACAATTAAAACTTAAAACTCATTGTATTCATAATCATTCCTGAGCA